GAGAGAGGGAGTGAGCGCCAGAAGAAGAAGAAGAGAGAAGGACGGATGCAAGGCGAGGCCAGGAGCGGAAAACCTTATCTCTCCTCCTTTCCAGCTGCTGTCTTTTTGTGCTTTTTATTATCACAGCATCCTTTTATAACACGGTTCCTGCCTTTTTATTAAAAAGCCTCATACATCCCTGCGTCCGTCCTGATGTGCTGCTGCGCCTCATCACGATTCTTCAAGGATATGCAAAGCGGCTGTCATCACGTCGACGTTATTTTCCATTAAATGCAAGGATTTAATATCGGAAGCACATGATCAACAATGACAAACGACCACCGGGCTTGACGGACTGTAGAAATCGACGGAGGGAGACAGAACAGCCCGGGTCTGTGCGTTCATTTGCGCCTAATTATTGTTTTTGCGTTCGATCGCCGCGTATTCGCCTCCATTCACCCATCGGAGCTATAAGGCCTATAAGCCCGCACCATCTCTGGGCATGAAACCCGTGGGAATTATGATACCAACGTGACGCGCAGTCACACAGCACAGCGGGGAAAGACATCGAGCCTCGAACAGGACGGAGGGAGGGTGCGAGGTCCAGCAGAGCAGAGCCCCGCACAGTACACTGATCACACAAGAGGAGGACGCCCAGTTGTTATTGGACACATCGCGCTAATGACTGCCGTATAGCCCCGCAGCAGGTATCGCCCAGCACAATTTCCCCCATTGAACATTTTATTTGTTTCATGCATCGGGCGGAGCGGAGCGGGAGAAAGGGAGGAGAGTACAGTGGGTGCGTGAGGGCGCGGAGAGACGGGATGCGGCGGGAGACGCAGTGAGCGAGGAGGACGAGGAGGAGGGAAACCGGAGGATTGACGGTAAGATATGGATATAGGCTATCAGGATGCACCCCGCCCCTCCTTTCTCTCTCTCTCTGTAAGGTGCCCTGCTCCTTTGCTGCTGCTGCTGCTGCTGTCAAGGGCCATTTGATCACTGAGGGACAGGGATCTGATGTGCTGCTGTGCTGGGCCTCGTACTTCTAGCTGCCATTAAAGCTGGGTCAGTAGTATAGGAGTGCGAGGCACGAGTGCACGTGAAATATTCATGGGCACGTGATTAGCATCCCCTGGGCCTCAGAGAAGTGCAGAGGGACTCAGGGTGTCCCACGCTGGCTCCTCCAGAGGGGTCTGTCTGGATTATGTTCATTGTCACACACCTTCATTGCATTGCAGTGTCTGGTGTGCTGCAGTGAAAAGTGGTGTAAACACGCACACACACACGCACACACACGCACACAGGGTTTGGTTGGATGTTTGCTGGTTTGGTTTGCTGATTCACCACAGAGGGGAACATGAGGAGAAAAGAGACTGTCAGGAAGAGAGTGAGAGTCCATTATCAATATTTCAGACAGGCTATGAGAGGACTGGGTCAGTGGAGGAGACCAGGCAAGGAGGCAGGAGTGGGCAGGAGTGAGCAAGGGAAAGAGAGCGATGCAGAGGAGAAAGGAGATGAATGAGGGAAGGATGGAGGAACAGAGGGATGAGAAAAGAAAGACACAGCTCAGTGGCTGACAAGATTCCTGCTATCTTCTGCCAGGCTGAATTTCTACATTTGTAACCGTGTGTGTGTGTGTGTGAAGATGTTTCTATATTATTTCGTGTGTCGTATAAATAGTGAATAGCAGATTTTGTGTGGGAGAAATAAAAAGAATGACTTATTCTAACTGATTTATATGTAGAAATGTTAATGAACATTCATTTTAATAAGGTGACTCACCTAGTTGTGTGTGTGTGTGTGTGTGTGCGCGCGGGTTGTGTGGGTGTGTGGTGCACGCTAGATGGAAAAGACAAAACAAAGGAACCGAGGTTTGTTTCCATGTAGGGATCATTTACATCAACCAGAAAAAAAGTGAATTGATTTGTTTAAACCACTCAAACACACACACACACACACACGCACACACACTGAGTTTGGATGGATTTTCTGTCATTTGACTTGTAAAACGCACCATATATTGGACCACCTCACACAGGTTCCTATCATGTCTCTTTGCATCAGTCAGACACACTGAGTCAGCCTCCCTGCGTTTATGCAGGCCTGTTCAGAGCTGGGGGCGGATATATATCAGTGTAATATCAATATCCTGATATAAGATCCGACATCAGCTGGGATTTCACCTATTACCATACTGTAAAACTGCAGCCTAATTATTATTTTCATTCTTGATTAATCTAAAGGATAATTGGCTGATTAATCTACGATGAATATATTGTCTGTGAAATCGTATGAGAAAGATAAACCATTTCTTCTTTAAAAATGATTAAAATGAGTAATCAATTATCAAACGAGCTGCCAAAATTTTCTGTCAGTAGAGTAATTGCTGTAATATTTCCGTGAATCTTTTTAGTTGTGTATTACTGGGATTGATAGCAGCATACAGTTCTCTGATACAGACTGTTGTAGTGGAGGACAGTGACGGCCTGTTCATATCCATGTTTTTCTTTCTAAGAATCATTGTGCATGTGAAACAAATGATCATATATTATATATTATATTACTAAATATAGATAATTATTATTCAAATGTGTTGCCCACTAGATGTGAGGGGTGATAGGGATAAAAATGTTCTATTAATATTGTTCTATTAATCATTATATTGTGGCATGGTCAATTAATTTTCTGAAATACCCTCCGAGAAACCATTTGGATGAAATAACCACGCAATCAGTGTGACAAACATTCTTGTAAAAGTACTGAGTCCAAAAAACTGGACAATGCACAGTGACGTG